ATAAAATTTCAATATCAAAATCTAATCAAATTTCTTAGTAGATCCAACACACCAACCCACAAATTTGGGGGTTTAGTTTTTTTTTTGTATATTAATTTTTGTGGTTTGGAGCATATTAGCTTTGACCCAAAAAAAAAAGAGGAGAGCTTCCTTCGATCTTCTTCTTTTTGTCCATCTAGGCTTTTGTATATTAATTTTTTTGTGGATTGGAGCAGATTCTAGTGAAGATGCGAGAGATTCCGAAGCCTTTATACACCATAGTGTTGTCCTTGACGAGACCTGTAGATTTAAGATTTAAGATCCGGTTTGAAGATATTTTCGTCCAAGAGATGTGTATTTAGTGGATAAGGTTTTGTGGACAAGTTTGTGTGGTCATATTGAAATCCACTATGGAATCTCTTCCAAGAGATAAACAGTTCATGATTAGAGAATGTAATGGTGGTCATAATTACTCATCTGAATATCATTGTACAAAATTGGATTTTGATTGTATCATTATACGAAAGTACATGATTATACAAAAGAGACTTTATCATTAAGATGGAGACCGTGGATGACCAAATAATACGATGTTACGTGGACATGCTTGGGTGCGGTATGCTAGTAGGGTGTTTAAAACTGTATACTATGTGATGTTTGATTATAAACGCATCCATGTGGACAAAGACATGTGGATATCGATGTATACTATGTGATGCTTGATTACAAACATATCCTTGTGGACGACGACATGTGGATATCGATGTACAAAAGTGAATAGTTCATATTGTAAACAACATAGTAAGACATTGTATTGCTACTACTGGTTCTCTTTTATGAAGGTCGTTGTATGTGTATCACGATTACATGTCCACAAAAACCTATACACATATTAGTAATCACGATTAGGTATTTTTTGTTGATTATACACGCATCCATGTGGACGAAGACATGTGGATATCGATGTATACTATGTGATGCTTGATTACAAACATATCCTTGTGGACGACGACATGTGGATATCGATGTACAAAAATGAATAGTTCATATCCACATATGCGTGAGATCACATATTCAATGTTCATATCCACATAACCACGATAAACTTGGTGGAGAACATGTTACATAGTTGTCCACGTTAGTTTATCCACGGTAGCATATCCACATATGCGTGAGATCACATATTCAATGTTCTTATTTTGTTTTGAAGTAACCACGATAAACTCGGTGGAGAACATGTTACATAGTTGTCCATGTTAGTTTATCCACGGTAGTTTATCCATAGTAGCATATCCACATATGCGTGAGATCACATATTCAATGTTCTTATTTTGTTTTGAAGTAACCACGATAAARTCGGTYGAGAACATGTTACATAGTTGTCCACGTTAGTTTATCCACGAGGTGAGATTCTTTCTGATATCCTGAAAATCGCCGCCGATTTGGTTAACTGAGAGCAACGGTGATGGATTGGATCGAATCTGGAGAATTGGGTTTGGGGGTTTTGTTTTAGACTGCTCTTGATGTTACTGAAATACGAAGACATTTTGATATCCGACGG